AGCTGAAATCGAGAAGGCGATGTATCGATTTTATTTGTAATTTTGAAATTAACTTTGTGTTCAACTGAAAGCCAGGGTAAATTTTCGTGTTTTTTTTTTTGGTGTGACATGGTAATGTTTCTTCTTACGAATGATAATTCTCGCGGCTGCATTCTGGGAATATTGGAGTGGTTTTATATGCTTAGTTTGTAAGCCATACATAAGTGCATAACCGTAGTCCAGTTTTGTAAACAAAAGAAGATGAAAAACATTTTCACATTTGTGTTTGTTTAGATAATGGTATTTGGTTAAAACATTTACAAAATGTATTATGAATACATTTTGGATCCACCTATTTAATTAATTAATTAGTCTAGAAAGGCAATTTGATGAAAGTTTCATTTATAAACGACAATTCCTGCAACACGAATACTGCTTCATATTTCACAAAGATACTTAGGCAAAACATATCAAAGACCAATCAAGTATATCGTCCCTCTGTAAGGTTGGTTATGAATAGAGAAATCACCACTTCTAGATGTACGAAAACATTTCAATGCAGTGTATGTTAAACTGGTAATGTCGGGAATGCTTTCACATATCACCACCCACAGCAAGAATCGGTTATCCAGTTACCACTATTTGAGGAAGGTACGTTTACATCAGAACCATGCAATTCCAGTTGAGCCGAATCATATATACGAGGCCGGATTCATAAAAAAACGCTGCTCTCTGATTGGTCTGACTGTTAGTGTTAGGGTTTGGTTGCCAATCAGACATAATCTTGAATAATTCTGTATATTGTACTTATGCTCCCGTTATAGATTCTTAAATGTCAGTACGATTACGCGTTTTGTTAAAAAATGATGACACTTCACGCACATACTCCTGTTTATATTAACAAATTGCAAATTAAAAACACTTAACTTTTCCACCAAGCTGTTTCTATCAACCATAAGATTTTTAACAAAATGACAAACACTACTCATCTTGACTTGTCTGGCTCTATATTTGCAATGGCTTCAAAAAACCTTCACATACAAAATTCAATACCTAAAAGCATCAAAGACAATATCTCGTATCCAAAAAAATGTGATTATGACTGATGTTTTATACTATTAGCTTCGGGGTTGATTTGGAATTGACAAACGATAAAAAAAATGTTTGTTTTGTTTAGCAAAAATATGGGTAACCTTAATGTGTAACTATAGAATTTATTATTTGAATAGATTTCAAAAGTAACGGGCGTCATGTACGCTAGTAACATTAAAAGTTTTGAAAACAATTTACATGGCACAGTGAATGAGCTCTGAATGACAAAACAGATATTCATTAATAAACAATGCAAATAAAATAAACCCAGAAAGATATTTAGACATTTCGTTTGGGTTCTTTATCCAACCATCATGTAGCAATCGACATAAGTAGTATAAGCTATTCCACGAATTTCGTATTGAAACGCCACATATATTTGCATGATTATGAATAAAATATTTTGAAATAATTTAATGTATTCGTATGGTTTATTTTTGAAATCTCTGAAACATCAGTTCTCAAATGCGAGTGACGATTTCAATATTTCGGACACAATACTTGAAGGCATACTAGCTTCTCCAATACGTCTGAATATCTAAGGTAAATCCTCGGTAACTCACATATCCCATGAAATAATTAAATAAGTCATCATTGATGGACAGAAGAATCTGGCGGTACTGAAGAATTGCACCAAATAACATGATAGTGAAACAAAATGTGCAATAATTGAGTAAAAGAAGTTTCTATTATTCTTCATTTTCTGTGTTGCTATCTCCAATTTCTTCTACTAATGACTTTGGATGAGGTTTTTTGGTTTGTTTTCATATCTCTTATTTTCAAGTAACATTAACGATCAAATTTATGCAAGTTTTGCATATGAATGATGATGAGAATAAGGATTATTATGATACTTTAAATGATGGCATACTTCATTGTGGAAGTCTCGTGTCTAGTTTTTCCTAGTTTGTTCCAGTCGAGTCGTAATAAGAGAGTTTGACTTTCACTGATGACTCGGATCGTTTCTTTCCTATACACAATTTACAAATGCAGACAGAAGATACAGCACATTTGTCACAAAAAAGGATAAAAAAGTAAGTATACCATGTTTTGGATAATGGTCATACCTTTTTTTTTTATCACAACTGCCTTTTAAGGTTCCATCTTGGCCTCAACCAGGCCTGGTTAAACAACTGTGAGCAGTAACCAACGAAGCATCCATTAATGAACACATCTCGGTAAGTTATTTTTTATATACAAATACTGATACGATAGCTGCTCTTTGATTGGTCTTTGGATTGGATAGCCAATCAGAAACGATATTTTAACTAGCTTCACATTGATACATGTGCCCAGAATAGAGCAATATAACACGACAGAGAGAATATTACTGCAATAGCATTTTTATTTAGTATTTTTTTTATAAATGTATTTGTCCTGTGTATATCAATCTTACAGTATATAGCCACTGTACAGCACACAAATCTATGTATAACCACAAAATACAGCTGATTAAAAGACTTAGATTACTGCCACTACTTAGTTTATGCTTTATTGTATATTATACAGTTAAACTAAATTTATGAATACTTTTCACTAATTACATTCTACATTGTAGACAAACTTTTTCATCTTCAAAACTGGGCTACATATACTAACACACTTTTGGTTTCTCAAAGTCTCCCATACTATCACATAAAATGATTACTACATATACTACAGTGTTCTAATACTTGGCATACCACATACCATACCTGACTTAGGCCGCGTTTGGTTATGAATACATGAATAATTTCATGGGAACATAATAAATCTACATTATCAGTCCCAAGTCCCATTATTTACTTACATTTCTTGTTGAAACAACTCGCTTACGATACTGAATGATACAAAAATACTAATTCCATTCAAGGAGGTCATGAAGGAACGAATACAAGTTATATAAAAGTAACATGGTACTTAAATAAATCAATGACTTGGAAAAAAGTTCATGTGGAAGCCTAAAACAGACAAGAAACGTTTATTAAATTTCATAACTGGTCCCTGATCCGTTGGTGTAATAGTGTTAATTCATAGAAATGTCAGTGCTATATTTAATACATTGTGAGCTTAAGACAAAAATTAAATACATTAAAATATTACAACTGTAACCATCTAAATTGATCACATCAGACAGTTGTGTAGCTTGCTGATGTTTGAAATTTTATTAAAATGCAAAACAAAAAATCTTATATTAATGTATTGGAAAGATGTGGGAAGTTAGCAGCAAAGATGCGATCAGTGCAGATGACCTCAACTTTCTAAGTGAATATTACTAATAATGATTTGTAAAGATCAGTCATTGTGACATGTAAGGAACCTAGAAACATTTTGTACACCACTGAAAGACCTTAACGAATGCAGTGATGCATTTAATTCCCCTAACCTTTTCAAGACAGACAAAAACAACAAAATATTTTTCGCAGATTAACATTGTTTACACAATTCTAAGTATGTAAACATTCCTGGGGAATGACAAAATACAAAGAATGAACATAATCGTCTACATGATATATATACAAGAATTCTACATTAATATAAGCACCATTTTAAAAGGAATAAGTGATACACTGTCTCTGCATAGCTTTGTTTGAACTTTAAAAAATACATCCCCATGTGAAAACATTGTACTTTCGTCATAAGTAACCTCAGATTTTCAACAAATTGTACTTACTTAATATAAAACCATAGATCTTTAATGAATAGACGTAGCACTTTGTTCATGAGATTTATGACAATACCATGCAGTTTCTTACTCTACATTAGATTTGCAATAGCATGGAGAGGATTCAAAAGTGTAACAGCTTACTAGAAAATCCATGTATATGTCTAACTTGTATGTTCAATCTACATTTATCTTTTTGAATGCAGGTCATCAACGGCAGGCAACTCCGCAATAAATCTCAGATAAGATTATTTCTAGGCTACAATTATTCTGCTTTTCTGACATCTTTGAGTTGTTGATCATCGCTAGTCAATGAACACAATCTTGGTCTGCTATTAAATGTAAATATGATTGGTAAAGCCATCAACGAAAGCAGTATCAATCATCTGAAGATCATGTGATTTGAGCATGTAGCATTTAAAATAATGAGAAAACCCTTTGTTCTGGAGAAGCTGTTTATAGGACATACCTTGACTCAGGTGAGGCCATCTATTTGACATCCCTCGGTTCAGGTGAAGTCACCTATTGGACATCCCGTGGATCAGATGAAGTCACCCATTTAACATTCCCCAGTTCAGGTGAAGTCACCTATTGGACATCCCTTGATTCAGAGGAAGCCAACTATTTGACATTCTTTGATTCAGGTGAAGCCACCTATTGGACATCCCTTGATTCAGGTGAAATCACCTATTGGACATCCCATGATTCAGATTATTCCACCGATTGGAATCCCACGATTCAGGTAATGCCACCTACATGTATTGGACATCTCTTGATTCAGGTGAAGTCACCTATTGGGCATCTCTTGATTCAGGTGATGCCACCTATTGGACATCCCTTGATTCAGATGAAGCCACCTATTGGACATCTCTTGATTCAGGAAATGCCACCTATTGGACATCTCTTGATTCAGGTAATGCCACCTACTGGACATCCCTTGATTCAGGTACTGCCACCTACTGGACATCCCTTGATTCAGGTGATGCCACCTATTGGACATCCCTTGATTCAGGTGAAGTCACCCATTGGACATCTCTTGATTCAGGTGAAGTCATCCATAGGACATCCCTTGATTCAGGGAATGCCAACTATTTGATATCATTTGATCCATGTAAAGCTGCACATTTGACATCTTGCTGATATTTTCATGGCTACATAATTTTGTTTTTTGTCTTCAATGAAATTTTAATTTCTAATAGTAATCTTAAAAATAGTAGCCCTGGTACAAGAATCATTATTTCATGGCGCCAGGAATAATTGTTAATTGGTCAGAAGGTCATAAAAACTGCAATAGTTGCAATGATTATCTTACCATTTTTTTTCTAATGTAATAAAAAAAAGTCAAGATATTGGAAGAATCTATAACATGTGTTTAGCTTCATGAGGTAATGCTTAATTTCCTGTTGAGTCAACACTAAAGATTTTTACTCAAGCCAATGTCTTTCTAATATTAATTACCACAGCATACCACGATGCCATCATGCCTAACAGAAACTGCAACATAAGCAATTACAGTGACACTTGCCAACATTGTGTTACAGTGTTGTAGTTAACCTAAGAGATCCTGCAGTTGTTGGGTAGCAGAAGTGTCACCACTATGACATGCTGCTGAATCCGCTGACAATTCAGTTGCATTGTGATCTGTCTTAGCTGCAGTCAGCTGTTCAGATTGTGTTTGTAGTACTGGTTGCATTGTCGATCCTTGCTCTTGTGGTTGGACTGCAGCTGGTGGCTGTCCTTGTTGTTGCAGCTCTAACTGCATCTGTACTTGTTGTTGCTGTAATTGGAGCTGAAGCTGTTGGTGTAGCAGGGCAGCTTGCTCTTTCTTTTGTTGTTGTAATTGTAGTTCTTTTTCTTTTTCAAGTTGTTGCAGTTTCTCGTCTAAACGTTTCTGCAAAGGTTTCTTGTAAATGTAATTGTCTCCATCCTCATAAAAATACTGAAAAATAAAACATATTGTTTGATCGATCATTTCAAAATAAAATCAGGAATCAGAAACAGATCTGTACTTGTATTGTGATGCGAGTACAAGTCATAGGTAAATGGTGGAGATTACTAAGTGTTGATTATTTGGAAACCAGCATAACGAAAAGACTGAATGAAAATACCTTTGTTTGCCATTTAATGTTCTTCTCATTTCTCTCTTTTCGTTCTGCACGTTGTCTTTCTTCCAGTTTATGTTTAGCAGCAGTTGTTGCATCCATGTTCTTCATCTTTAAATTGTAAGTAACATCCTTCCATAGCCTGTAAGGTATACTTGATTATTTCCATCTTGATCCGCATCTCAAAGTTATGGCATTTGTTAAAAATTTTGCATCACAAGAAAATTAAAACACATACAAAATTTCTCATAAATTACAATGGTGATTTTGTGATTAGAAATATGATTCTAATAGAGAAACTCAATATCAGAGGTGTAATTATTGTTCAATCTATTAAAAAAAAAAGATTTTAATATGAATGGACCAATAACCGTCAAACATCAGTAACTTTCGTTACCTTTCAGAAAATAAAACTGCAGAATTTATTACTGTTCTACATCAACATGTAGATCTTACCTTCTAGATTCAAATTCACCTTGTTGATCTATCGGTTTAACTTTTTTCTTATAAGTCTTCATAGTTGTTGTGTCTATAAAAGTCTCTGTTGTCTGCATGAGTCAAAGACATATCTACTGTTAGCATGTGTTGATACTACAAACATGTACACATTGGTCTGCATGAGTCAAATACATACATTTTGTATCAACTTTTAGCATGTGTTACAAATTTTCCAACATTCCAACAACAGGAAGTTCTCTTAAATCTTATTTAAAATGAAAAATTTAGTAGATTGGTAAAGTTTTTCAATATGGAACATGATTACGTAACAATTACGTAATTACGTAAATATGTCACACATGAAACACTTACAATCCATGATTTATATTCTTTACACTGTAAAGATACACATAGCAATATCCAGAACACTTACCCCGTTAGCCCATTTAGCCATCATTACACCATTCCATTCCCCAGTTACAGTCAGGAAAGGTTTACGGTCTGACACATGCCTGGTAAAACAAAAAACAACAAACTGGGTTTAGTGTAACAGAATGATACCCTCCATACTAGTCACAAATATTACGATATCATATTAGCAACCGAATAAACAAAAAGAAATAAAACTCACAATGAGAAAATGAACAAGGCAAGGAGAAACAAGCAGCCTGTCGGCTGAGATAGCTCCGATGTTAGCAATGCACATTTCAATTAAAGAATTGAAGATATCATTACAAAATGGACAATATGTATAATATCAAAGCAATCAGACGTGTGGTTTTCAACAATAAGTCGAAAATATCACTTTTTACCAAAAATGACAAAAAATATTCACCAAAATTAGAGACTTAAAGATATCATCACGAAATGAACAAATCTGAGAGAGGTCTGTCCAAGGTACATATACACCAAGTAACAAAGCAATAAGAATTGTAGTTTTCAAAGAGAAGTTGAGAAAGTAATAAAAAGTTGACATGAATGCCGATGGACAATCACTCATATGATAAGCTTCACTTGACAAAGTCAGCAGCGGAGGTAAAAAGCAGAGAATTACAACTTGAGTGGCAAAGCAGATCATACAGTTTTTGTCATTGTTGTGAAATAAACTAAATACGATGTGTAAATAACAGTCTGAGCAAGACTCAAAGTAGAATGTAATCAACTAACATTCAGAGATTTCATACAAAGTACAGAGTAAATTTGAAAACTTTAAATTTCTGAATACACGTGTAGATCAGGGAATCAAATCACCTAGTAAAAATATTGCTATACAGAATTTATAGACATTCTATGTACAATAAGTAGAGGTAGAGACACAGTCTCAATTATTTGGGATTGGTTATTAGACGAAAGTAATTGAAATGATTACCAGTGTCATCTTATGATAGTCTTCACCGAGATAATATGTCTACAAACTCATCACGACTTTCAAGTAAATGGAAAATATGAAAATAAACACCCATATGAATACCAAATCAACATAAAGTCAAATACTTACGAAACCTCAGCTGTAATCCTATGTTTACTGCCACCATAGAACGGTTTAGTATGAAACACTACGGTAGACGCAAACCCTGTCTTAGCACATGAAATGCTGCATTTACCTCCCATTTCAAACCACGGCACAGTGAGTATAGACCGACCGTAACCATTGGGGAATGTCACCATGTATTCTTCATCATGTTTTAAGTCTGACAGACAACCTGAAATAAAGTATAAAATAACACACAGGGATTAGAATATGTAGTTGTCCAATTAATCTTTTGTCATCTTTCAAAAAAACCAAAAAAAAACGATGGCTACAAAATTGGGCAAATTTTAGCAAAAGATTGCCACCAGAGGGCGAGGCCAGAAGTGGAACATTTCAAAATCAGACAGACCAACAACTTTTCTTTCACCTTTCACAGATATATGAAATATATGAAATCATTTGTTTAAAATCTAATAACAATAAATAAACTTAGAAGCATAACATCAAAATAGACATGCCTACTACAGTATATAATGTAACAATTCAATCAGAAATCTGTTTTTCACTGCTAGGCCCCTGATTGGAGTGCATTGTATGCAGGTTTCCATTGCATTTATTTATTGCCAGATGTTCAATTTCAAACAGCACACACAGTGATTTCTTGACAAACATACTAATTAGATAAATTGTCACTGGTAAAACATAATGGAAACTTTTGAGTAATAGCACTAAAGTAAAATATTGATGCAGCTCTCTCATTCCCTATCAATTTCATAACTTGAAATCATTCATATTAATTAGTCAACCTGTAATCACAGTTTGACGAAATCTGATCAAAAATATGTTTTCATACAATGTTTTGACTATTTTTTCAGCTCTCAAGCACAATTTGGATCTACCATTTTGAATATTGGAATGCATTTTGGCAAAGTTTTTCATTTATTTCAGCATTTAGTTCAAGTTTATTTCAGCGAATACAACAATCTCATTAAATGTGTCTTGCTGGTATCATTCCTTAATAAATTATGACAAGAAACACCAAAAAATGATAATTAGTTTATGAAAAGATATTAATCATAATCCTGTTGACCTCTACTAATATGGTAGTATCCCAGTCACACTGTGTAACTGAAAAATGAACTTACCCTGGCCAATCATCTCAACACCAATTGAAAGACCGAGGAACTTTGATTTTGTCCATATATGGGCATTAACTGATAAACCTTTATTGTAATTTTCAGCATAAAAAGCAGAAACTGGAGAAAAGAGAAGAGATGATGATGATTAGAATATCTTCATAAACAAATAATAAAAAGTGAATTTACATAACATATCTGAGTGCACTGCGTTGTATGATGACGCAACGTTAAGACCAAAAGGAACAATACAGTAAATCGATTTAATTTTGCTGATGAAAATTTTTGTGATTTGATAATTTTAGAGGACTAGTCACTATGACGATCTTAAACAGGAAGATCCAAATGAAATTTTGCAGTTTTCCTGACTTGTAAAATTCGGTGTCTATATTTAAAATATGACATACGTAAATACACAATACATACATCAATTACTTTCATTTTAATCTTGAAGTGGTAGAATGTGCCACAAGAATGCGCCCCTTTATATGTTCATCAACAAGGACATTATATTGTACTTGATACTCAGCAATTCATACTTACTCGGTGGGTGATGGGATACTTGTTCCGCTAGAAACGTAACTTGGTCTTTTGTAGCCCATGGAACTGGACCATCAGGAACTAATTCCTAAAATGTAATAATTTGAATTTAGACTCTAGTACAAAATTATGCAGATAAATGATGTACCGAGCAAGGTCATACAAAGTTCAAGTACAATTTACGAACAGAAACTATCCAAATTGAATTTGAATAAACTTTGTACGCAATGGAAGCCCACAATTGATAAAGATATCAGAGAAAAATGTGCAACAACATATTAAAAACAGTTGAGAAAAATGATACTGTTCAAAGCACTAAACAAACTGCATGTGTCATTATATAAACTTGACATGCAGCATAGTAAATTAAAAAGCAATGGTTGTCGATAAGTTCACGTTTCAAATTTTGTCACATTGCGCCCATATATAAAACATGTCACCTTGCGAAAATGACTATCCCCATTCAACCTTTTCACCACCAATTCCCTCTTCTCATCATAAAATAGTCCCATTCATAATCTGCATTTTTCTTTGTTTGGGACAACAATAGCCAATTTTTTTAGTCTAAACTGAAAAGTGACTCAAATTTTGTCTGTTGGCTTCGAAATTAGTGTTCCTTTCCAGAAATATTGAAGAATATAAGAAATCAAAGAAAGCTTAGAAAGAACTCCCGTGTGCTGAGAGTTTTGGAGACACATTAAAAATTAATTCAAAATTACTTATACTTGAGATATTGATGGAATAGCTGAAAACTAATTATGCAAATAAGGTAACTAATATGAACAGATTTAGGTGTAAAACTAATAAGGTCTGCACAATGTACCAAGTTTCATTGGAATGTGATTATAACCAAAAAAATATTAATTATTATGCTAATTAGAGAATTAATATGAACAGATTTTAACCCAAAATTAATCAAAATTAGTCTATTGTCCTAGAGCATTTATGTACCAAGTTTTATTCAAATGTGATGATCAATACTTGTGATATTAGTATTAATTAATTAATTATGTTAATTAGGTGATTAAGAAGCATAAATATTTACCAAAAACTAATATGGTGCATAGTCTTAGGTTCATTGAAATGTGATGGGTACTATTTAAAAGTTTCATTGAAATCCAATGAGGGGTTTTTAGACATCAGTGCAACAGCCATAGAACAGCAAAAAATTAACTAATTATGCAAATTAGGTAATTAATAGGCACAATTTTTTATCTCAAAATTAATCAGGTCTCTGCATAGTCCTAGAATATCTATGTCGCAAGTCTCATTGAAATGTGATGATTAGTACTTGAGATATCAGGTGAAAAGCTGAAAATTAACTAATTATGCTAATAAGGTAAGTAATATGCACAAATATTTACCAAAAAACTAATTAGGTCTCTGCACAGTCCTCAAGTAACTATGTACCAAGTTTCATTGAAACATGATCATTACTACTCGAAATATCAAAAGCTGAAAATTAATTAATTATGTAAATTAGGTAATTAATATGTACTGATATTACCCTAAAAACCATCAGGTCTGTGCAGTGTCATAGAACACCTATGTACCAAGTTTTATTGAAATGTTATGATTAGTACTTGAGATATAAAAGCCGAAAATTGATTAATCATTATGTAAATTAGGTAATTAATAATATTAACAGATTTTTACCCAAAACTAATCAAATCTGTGCATTAGTTCAGAGCATCCATGTGCCAAGTTTCATTGAAATCCAATGAGTGATTCTTCAAAAATCAGTGGAAAAGTCATAGAACAGCTTAAAATCAGTTAATTATCATGCAAATTAGGTGATTAATATTCATAGATTTTTACCCAAAACTAATCAAATCTGCGCATTAGTTCAGAGCATCCATGTGCCAAATTTCGTCAAAATCCAATGAGTGGTTATTCAGATATCAGTGGAACAGTCTTGGAACAGCTAACAATCAGCTAATTATCATGCAAATTAGGTAATTAATATTCATAGATTTTTACCAAAACTTAATCAACTCTGCGCATTATCCCAGAGCATCTATGTGCAAGTTTCATCAAAATTTGATTAGTAGTTCTTGAGATAACGGTGGAACAAAAAAAGTGACATACATACATACATACATACATACATACAGACATACAGACAGGGTAACTGCAAAGACTCATTTTTGTGCTTCGCACACGGGAGTCAAAAAGTGCAGATTTGGGCGAGAAAGTCTGGTGGTGAAAAGGTTGAATAATAATTATTTGTTAAAGTATCCAGTAGGCTGAATGAAGTAGCTTACATCCTCTGCTGGTTCATGGTATTCACCATTGGATTCTGATACATCATAAAAACACTGCAACGTCTCTCCAATAATAGGATTGTATGGTTTCTTTGCTACGGAGCCTTTTTTACCAGCATGGAACGCAGACAAAAACCATCTTGTCACCTGTACAATACGGTCCTTAGGATCTTCATAGTCAGGTATACTATAAAATAACATAATTTTGGGTTTATATGCACTCCAATTGGATATGTACTTTTAAGGTAGAACGCTTACCGGTAGTTTGTTTTTTACATGTGTGCATATATTTAAGCCACTTTATTTCCCTAAAAATCAAATCCTACCGGTTTTATGTATTTCCGCATTAAACCTGTAGTCAATTCATGTTCCAGGGCCACTTGGTTTAGCCATGCATTATCAGCCAATATATGCATACCCCCGGTATGCAAATTTTGTGTTTGGACCAATCAAATCGATGAATTACCACCATCAGTATACTGGTATAATATAATAGCACATATAGCAGTAGCAATATTTCATGTCAAATTCTACCTACAACTATTGGTTTTAGTATTCAACAGTGTGTGGATTTTTTTGGTTCATTGTCAATCTGCTTTGGAGAAAAACGATAAAATAATATGCACATTTTAGCAACGGTTTCCATAGTCCACAATGAAAACACATTTCCTTGATAAAAACTCACTCAAAATTTTTTGTACTACATTGTACTTCCAGAGATCAAAAAATACCATGCAAGGCACTATAAATTTTTTGCACAATAATTTTGAGATTGAAATATACATGTATTGGTTTTAAAAGAAACAATGATGAAATGCCCTAAAACAGACAAAAAATGCTTTTTTCACTCTGTTTTGTAAATCGATTCTGTAGCCCTACATGAAATAGCAAATATGTAAAAATTAAGAAAATGACAATATTTTTTACTATCGTGCAGTGTTCTAACTTTATAATTAAAGAGCAATTTTGTTTATATGCCACCTCAATAATTCATAAATGTAATATTTTATTCTTCAAAGAAATACAAACAAACATACTTACTTTGAAAATAAATCAGGATGTGCAAAGAAATCTGCAAACATTTCTAGTAAAGACCTTCGTTCCAGTATGAATGTAGGAAGTACAACTTTAGTTAAATCCATTCCTATTCTAACTTGTGACAATAAATGTGTAATCACACTTCCATGCTTACCACAGTCCACTGCAGGGAAAAATATTAAATACAAGATTAGGTATGGTAAGTAAAACAAGCCATGCATGGCATAGTCCCTGTTAGTTATCAAATTTAAAATATATGGTTTTGTTTATAGTAATATAGTTGGAACATAAACATGTCAGAGATATATTTCCAGAAGCTGATGTTTGATTATGATGATTTTTTCAACATTAAAATGATTGACATTCAGTCACCTTGTATCTGATCATCAAATCAGTTTCCGGAAAGCCAGAAATGCTTCATTTTGATGATCCACCACAAAAATGGCTGTCATTCGGCCATCTTGAATCAGATTGGAAAACAAATTGATGTGCATATGTATATTATTCTATATGATGTATGTGTGATGTTTGAATGTAATCGGTCTGGGCATGACCAAGATATAGGTCTGGACACATACATGGAGCACGTATGCACAGAGATCAATCCATAAGACCCCGTTTTTGGACTGCCTTCAAACGGGGATTAACAACCTGGCAGGGTGGGTTTGGCTGCAGTGTAAACATAGCAGATACATCAAGTGCTTAGCAAAGTAGGAATTTTCATTAAGACATAAGTGTGAAATACTAATAATTGATTACAACCCCTTATTCTGACTATATTATGAACAAGAGTGGTCATAATGTCACACATCAGTGTCCTGTCTACACCACCTACAATCCCAAATTTATTAAATCATCGCACAGGACTTATTCAAACCCTGTGTAAAACAATTAAGGCATTTTACACAGATATGTGCATCAATCAATTGTATCACAGAATGCAGTAGACACTCAGGTAAGAAAGGATACAAGCTTGAGACAAACACTAATAAATTTTTCCAAAGTCCAACTCATTTGGATTATTCAGTTCCAGAAATGTATGTTTGTCTTCCTTGTGTGTGATTATCTGCGCGACTTCAATTATACCACACCCTCTGCATACTTTTATGCTAAGAATCTTTTATGGTCTTGTGCATGTTTTTAGATGCTGTGAACATCAGTGTCAATTATGTTGTCTATTACGACTTCTTGTAGTAACTTACGTTCATCATCTTCGTCATCATCCTCTTCATACATCTGAGTTGCCGTCACTGGATCTGGGGATTTCACCTCAACATCTTTTGTATCCAAAAACTGAACTGGAGAGTCATCTCGAGGTGAGTCCCTAAAACAATCAAAATAATGGTTTAAATTATTCAAACAAACAAACAAACAAACAAACAAACAAACAAACAAACAAACAAACAAATAAATAAATAAATAAATAAATAAACAAGTCATTGTCAATGACACGTCCCCGTTCCGTTCCGTTCCGTTCATATTTGAGTGACATATACATTCAAAGCAGATCATGACCGAAATGCACCTGCATATGTACAACACATTGTGCTAAATCTGAACAAAATCCATCCATGCATGACTGAGATCCGGTTCTGGAATT